AGGTACTGAATTTGTAATTTTGTTTAACTTTAATTAATTTAAATTTGAATTTAAGAAGTGACACATGGCAAGTGGCTACAGTATAGGAGAGTACAGCTCTATACTGAAGATAAAGCATGAATACAAGGGTGCTTCAAAAAGTTCACAGAGAAATAGAACTAAAAGATATACAAATCCTTCCATGAACTTTTTGAAGATCCCTTGTATGTCACAAGCTTGTCAACTGGGGAAATTTCATTTGATATTGCTAGATGCTGGCCAATTTTTTAAAGGAAGAAAAATTTGCACACTTTTGTACTAACTATAAATACCCCTACTGACAAGGCTGCCGTTAAATAGGCCTTTCATTTATGAAAATGAGAAATGTTTGGTGAACCTGACTTCCTAGTTTAAGTTCAAATACACATTAAAAAAACAAGCTTTATAAACAACTGTTATAATCGAGGCAACAGTTAAACCAGCAGACCTTGTCAAATTAAAGTATAAATCATACTTAACAAATGTAGTAAATATTTCTCACATATATTTCAACAATGTCACATAGAAATGGTAATGCTTCAATGAACTACTCTAAGTGATAAATACAGGCTGTGCTTCATATACAAAGATGACACCAGTGACCCATCACTAATGGGACAAGTTGAATCTTATTTTTTCTCCTCAATAATAAAGCACTCTTTTTTTTCCATAATACCTAATGACTATAAAACAACTGACTAGGTTTATAAATATGATTTATGATCATAAAACAAAAGATAGCTACCTCTACAACGATCAAAGCCATAACCTTGTCTTTAGTCTGTGGTTCTAAAGAGTGTTAAGCTCATTGTCTATACCTGCAACTTAAGATCAATGCCCCCTTTCAAAGATATTTCCCTCCCAGGTCTAAGAGAATCCTTCAGGGACAGGCAAGAAAACAAAAGATTCTAACTCAGTTTCTTTGACGTTACCTAAGGCCAGAGTTTCTTCTTTTTAACACAAAATATAAAAATTGAAGCCATATTATTTGAGAAAGCAGCAGAAAAGACCTGTTGAGTATCTTACCTGATCAGCTACTCCTCCAGGCAGAATGGTTTTTACTATCACACCAGTTGCTTTTCCTCCTATGATGCCAAATCCCAGACCAGATCCATCATTCACCAATTCAATAGTTTCAACATGCTGCCAGTGAACCTAAAAACGAAGCTCCCATATGAATTCATAAAAGTTTTAAAAACTAAAATGTCATACTAATGAGGAAATTTTTGTAATTATTATTTTGTTATTAGTATTAAACAATTGAATTCAGACATGATAACAAGCTAACAGTGTCCTTTTCATTTAGTGTACTTCCCTTTCTACAGACTGGTACACCTATTGATTTAATCATTCTTGAAATTATCAATACATCATTAAAATGACTGCATTTTACCAGTTACAGATAGTCACTGATTTGCAAGCTCTTTTGTAGAATTTGTAAAGAAAAAAAGGAAGAGAAAAAAAAACTGTCATGTATTAAGAATGTCTTCTGCATAATCCTGCCTTGAAGCAGGATTCCAAATTAGATGACTTCTTAAAGTCACTGACAGCTAACTATAACAATATAATTATATAATTTACAAAGCAAAATCAAGATTATATCTGTCTACAGATAAAGTCAGTTTTGTTAAAGGACTAAATTTTTTCTTTTGAGGAATGCTTTCAAATAAAAAATTACACAAAGAGAAGCTAGAGACTTAATCATAATAAAATAAACAACAAATATTCAAGGCTAGGAAGAGACAGAAGAATAACAAGACAAAAACTCAAGAAGTACAAAGAACCTACAGGAATTAGAAACCCAGAGATGACCAAAAAGAACTATAAAAATATGTTTTATTCCTTTTGAAAATTTTACTTACTAACCGGATTAGAGTGAGCTGAAATCGTGCTGGCTGCCGATGGAGAACGGGACACCATAGGGCTGATAAGCTGAGGCAATGAGCCTCTGGCAATAACTAGCTGGACAGAATCTTTGGCTTTCTGCAGGATGCTGATAGCCTGCTGATGTGTAATTGTTTGGTCAAGTGCCTGTCCATTGATAGCAAGGATCTGATCAGTTTCCTTCAACCTTCCATCTCTATCAAAGATGAAAAAGGGGGTAAAAGATATCTGATCGCTCTCAAAGAAATGACAGCTTCTTTGGCATATACTCACATGTTCCACTATTTCTAATCCTATTTTCTAATTTCCACACTGTTAAAGCTTTTCCTTGCAGCTTTACTTTTAAAAATGTATGGTTTGGCTCCAGGTGATCAACTGTCCTAAGGTAATTCAACTGCTACCCCAAATCAACTCCTCTCATTTAAAAGCCCTCTTTTTTCAGCTATCTACTCAACCTATACAGTATATATTAGATATTCCTATTTTTACCATCTTTTAGATTTTCCTGTCTTCTAAAAATGAAAGTATTGAGCATCTACTTACTTGTTGCTTTGAGTACATTAATACAGCTCAAATTACCATGGATAATTTTAAGTACAGTAATCTAATCAAACATAGCTCATTTAATAACAATGAAAATAACGTTCTACTGAAACTTCTCTATCTTTAATAAAATGTAATTAATTTATGACTATATTTTAAAGCTACTCTCCTTTCAAAGGACTTGCTTTTTATCACAACAACGTTAATGACTTCTAAAAACTGGTTAATAACAGATTATATTGAGTTTTTTCTATGTCTTAGTTTTTGTATTTCTAAATTCCCCCACAGTGAACAAACCTTCTGAATATGGTATAAAAAACAAAGAAGCTGTGACAATCTCACCTGTGCGCCACACTGCCCTCTTGTATCTCTTGTACAAATATTCCCAGCTCTCCCCTGTTTTCACTCCTTAATCCCACAACACTAAACCCAAGGCCTCCACAAGGAGGTTTGAGGAGCTCAAAAACTTCTACATGGCGACCCTGTTCAGGAAACAAAGCAAGAAGTAAAATTAAAAGTTAATTACTGCAGTAAGAGTCATCTTATGAGTGACATTACCTTGTTTTAAAAAAAGAAATTGAAAAAAATTTCTCTAAGATAACTTCTAGCACTCACCTCCTAGAATGGGCATTTGATTTATCCTGAGGAATATTTTAGAATACAACATATAATACTCGATTTATATATGATAATTAAAAAGAGAAAAATGTAATAGAAAAATCTGTGACCCATCCAACTCCCACAAAATAAACTTCTTTTTCATTTCAATTTTTTCAGATATTATAAACATCACTATATTCTTCAAGTTATCGGACTTGATCAAACTTTAAGATATTATAAATTCTATCATAACTAACAGGAAAAAATGTTCTTACCTGGGCCATATTTTTGATTAACTGATCAAATTCATCACAAGCAGGTTTCCCGTTGATGTGTGGAATACTCGATCCTGTAAGTGCTTCCAGATTCCCATTATGTGGGGATAATAAAAACGATTCATTTTGCAGGGTAGAAATTACAGCTGAGCTGAGGTAAGGAATGTGGCCATATTCAACACTTAAAGTTGATGAAGTTGCAGTGTTTACCTAAGAGTAATATAGTTTATTAATAATTTTGACATTCCATAAGCTATTTCATAGAAAATATTCCCAAAGGGTAATAATGAAGTACATATGAAATTTTAAAATGTCTATACCTTTTAATACAATGATTTAATTTCCACAAATTTATTTCAACGAGAAATATTAGAATAATACACAAACATGTATAAGAATGCTCAATGCAGCACTATTCATTAGATGGGAAAATCTACCTCCAGTGTTCAACTTCAGGATACTGATTAAAACACACACATAAATGTACACATCTATACACATACTTAAACGAATAAGGCTAGTTATCAAACAATACATATACTATAAGCCAATATCAACTTCAGGATACTGATTAAAACACACACATAAATGTACACATCTATACACATACTTAAATGAATAAGGCTAGTTATCAAACAATACATATACTATAAGCCAATACACATTCAAAGAAAGATATTTATATTTGTGTTAAACATCTTGAAGAATATCCACCCAACAACCAATATAACACTGGTTGCCTCTGATGGATAAGATTTCCGGGCATCATTTACTTTCTACATTGCTTGAATTTTTATAATACTGTGTGTAGTAAAGAATTCGTTCTTTCTCAAAGGGTGGTCTGACCTTTGTCCCCAGCTCCTAGGAAGGAGCTCCAAACCCTTGGATTTTCCCAAGTGATGGGATCTTTGTTATTCATGGTTGGCCACAAGGCCACATGATATAGGCTCAAACTTTAAGTTCAATCATGTGGGCAATCATCAATCAATCATGCCTATAAAATAATGCCCGAATTAAAATTCTGATCACCAAGCTCAGGTAAGCCTCCTGGGTTTGTAATACTCCATGTGTATAGTCACACATCGAATCTAGGAGGGAACACTTCCCAAGGAAAATGGAAGCTTCATGTATGAAATCCTCCCATATTCAGCACTTTACATCTCTTCCCTTAGCTGACCTGTATCCTTTCCCTGTAATAGATCATAATTATGAGTATAATAGATTTCAGTGAATTCTGTAAGACGTGTTACTGAATTATTAAACCAAGGGTGGTTTTGGGAACCTCCCAAATTGCAGTTGCTGTCACAAGTGAGGGTAGTCTTGTGTATACTTTCCCCTTTAATTTTGTAGCTGGACCTTACTCCTTGAAGTTGGTGTCATAAGTGTTGGACAGAGTTGGAAGTCTGGAGGATTGTGCCTTCAGACTTTGCAGTCTGGCTAACTCCAGGTATAATGACACAAGTAACAACAACAATAAAATCATTCCATTTTGGAAAAAGATTCTATAATTACTTGTTATAAAGAGCTGCATGCTAAATCTAAATAAGTGATAAAACAGTACAGTCAATCCTAATTTCATATTTCTGTAGGGTGTCTGGAATGTGACTTTTTATTTACAATCATTTATCAGAAAGATTACATCACTCTCTGACTTCATCTCCTAGCACTCTGTCCCTCACCCACTCAGCTCCAGCTGTTCTGACTTCCTCACTGTTCTTCAAACTGCCAAGCTGCTAGCTCTACCGTTCAGGCACATCCTTCCCCAAATATCTACATGCTTACTTTTTTTATTTCATTCAGGTGTGCTCAACCTTGCCTCGGAGAAGCCCTCCCTGGCACCACTATTCAAGACAGCACCCCACCATTATGTGCCATGAGCTAATCGCGCCACATTTTTCTTCATGGCACTTATCACCACCTAAGGTATACCCTGTTGTCATGAACGTCCATCCTACTCAGTGGAAACAGACTAGAATGTAAAATTCTCCAGCAAAGGAATCTGATTATTTCACTTTCTGCTTTGTCCTCATTCTCTAAAAGTATGCCTCGTACAGAGTTTATATTCAGTAAAGGTTTGCAGAATAAATGTTTATCCATTTTTTAAAGACCTATTCTAATCCCATCTCTCAAACAATTCTATAAGCATCATTATCTCCATTTTACAGAAAACAAAATTACATGAAGTCACACACCTAATAAGTAGTTTGTGATCTAGATTTTTTCATCATGGTGATCCTATCATCTTTGTATTATACACAAAGGATACAGTCATTTGAGATATCATTTCTGGAAGACATTAAGTAAAGAGCATCCATTGACAGAAGCTATCAAAATATTTCACAATACGTCACCAATCCATACATAAGTGTTTGTTATCTGTCCTTACAAATAAAACAGAAAATTTCATTAAGTTATCAAAGTTACCAATAATTCAACCATTATATTGGCTATCTACAATTACAATTGAAAAAGATCAAGATGTTTAAAAGAGGCTTTTGGGAATCCTTTCAAATGCTTATTTTAAAATCTACAGCAGGCATAATCAATTATTATTTTTTCAAAAGAAAGCTTTTTATGCCAAGCCCGATTTTTTTTATCCTGAGCCATGGCAACTTCAGTAAAGTCTGCCAGCAGAAGATATACCACTCAGGTTGAAGCAGATGGCATAATGAAATTTGTGACAGGCTGAGGATCCCACACACCAGGACATACTGCCTATGGTATATTTGTATATAAAAAAATATTTGGACTTCTGCTATGGTAAGCCAGAATGAACAAATCACATTCTAAGAATAGAGAGAGAGAGAGAGAGAGAGAGAGAGAGAGAGAGAAATTAATGGTGAAGTAGATCCTCTGATATTATGGATTAGGTGTGAAGGCATTCCAAGAGTAAAGTTAGTAGAAGCAGAAAAAGTACATTATTACAACATGAGTATCATAAAAGTATTTAATATCAATTGTCTTCTAATTTGCTAAAGGTGTGATGAATGTCAATGACTCTTCCTGTTTCCTCCTGGCCCTTGAGGTCTACACAAATATAAAAGCAAAGGTTACAAAGATCACATACTTTAAATATATAATTTAATTATATTATCATATGAAAGTCTTGTTTTAAAATTTGCACATTTATACTCATAAGAAAAAGCACAAAGGCACCTATTGATTCTGCTATAATTGCTTATTAAAATGGCTTTCTGAAATGTAATATCTTTGTGGAACTGGAATGAATCTTATTTGCCTTAATAGGTCTGTTCATAACAGACACACTGTAAATGTTTAATAAAAAGAACTTGACTCCCATCCTTGGTTTATAGAATATAAAATAAACAGAAGAAAACACAAATATCTGGTGATTTTTATATAGGGATAAACAATCTGTATAATTTATGGAAGTCGCTAGTAAATGAACAAGAGTCACCAAATAATTATCTGTTCTCTGTTTAACTTCTGGCTGAGTATTTCAGTCTAGAAAAGGCTTTCATGTGCTTAATAAATAAACATACATTAACTTAATTTGTGGATTTTAATTAGTGCTACTACCTAAAACATAACTTAAATAAAGATTATTCAAATTATTCAATTAAAAAGTTTGCAAATTCTTTCTGAAAGGGCAGGATAAAACACCCTCTCAGTATTTAGAAGTATAAGATATAAGACACAGTCAGAACCAGTGATTGGTTCAGTCACTCCAAAAGGTTGGATGAGGCAGAAATCATAACAAAGGAAATACATGTAACCTAAGCACTTTCTTTTAACTTAAAACATGTATATTCACTAATAAATATGTTGATAGATGGATAAGGTCTTCTTCTCGATTATGGCTCCAAAACTGGGAAGTCCCTACCTTTTTTGTTGAATAAACCACACACATATAATACTGTATTGTACTTAATTTCAGTCTCCTTAAGGTAGAGTAAGAATTTGAACACTTATGAAACAATTTCATGGAAGAAGAATTCTAGATTTTCATAAGATATTTCTTCAATGTTTAACAATTTGATCAAATATAATTCACCAAAAATTGTTTTATCAATTCACCTATATAGTCTTTCAAAAGAATTTAAATAAGTTTTAACAAAAAAACCTCTTATAAAATTCTATATTATGTAATAAAGTCATGCAATTATAAAAGTATTACTGGCATACATAGCTTTAATAATTACTTTTTGACAAAGGTACTGGTAAAAAGCTAGAGAAGTACACACACTAGAGATTATCTGTATAGACAAGTGTTTAGTGCCCTGGGCATCAGTCAATATACCTTAGACGAGAAATGGATAGTACTTTTTCACCTGGTAAGTTATTCATTTGAAGGTATGCTAAGAGAGCTGCCTCTATAACAGCATCCCGAGAAAACAATAATTCTCCTGCATTTTATATACAATTAAGCTCAACCTATGGAGTACTTGCATCAAAATAACCCATCCACTGTGAACAATTACAAAATATCTATATGATCTGTTAAAAGAAAAAATAAATTTTCAAGGTATTAAAAAGAAACGAACATTTCTGCCATATTCTATTGATGAGAGCAGTAAGTCCAGCCCAGACTGGAGGGGAAGGGATTACACATGAGCATGAATATCAGAAGGTAGGGATTACTGGTACCCATCTTAGAGGGTGACTACCACATCATATCATAGTAAAACAGTTGAAAGCCAAGAGAGAAAGAAAACCTTAAAAGCCACTAGAGCAGAAAAAGACCTTATCTTCAAGAAAGAATAAGACCAACAGCTGACTTCTCAAGAAAAACAATGAAAACAATGAAAAACAATGAAAGCCAATTAACACAATGGCTAAAAAACAAGAAATAAAAATAAAAACCTGTCAACCTAGCATTTTTCACAACACATACACATGTACACACATACACACATGCACACACACACAAACACAGTTGCCTCAGATTTGTACAAAAGAAATACCAAAGTAAATGCTTGGGCAGAAAGAAAATAATCTCAGAAAGATTCTTATGCGGAAAAGACCTAAGAGTACAATAAATGGTTCAAAAATTTTAGTAAACCAGTAGGAATTCCTTAAAACAATAAATAATCTAAACTAATGGAGTTTTAAATATAAAAATATAGTTACACAAAAGGCAGGAGTGGGGTAAATGGGGTTGAAGTGTTTTATATTCCCTGCATTTTCCAGGAAGTGGTAAAAGTGGTAAAAATTAAAGTGGAATCAAATAAGTCAAAAACACATAAATC